CAGCACCACACACCCAGTGCCGCGCAGGCACACCGGCACACTCAACACACTCAGCACCACACACCCAGTGCCGCGCAGGCACACTCAACACACTCAGCACCACACACCCAGTGCCGCGCAGGCACATCAGCACACGCAGCACCACACACTCAGCACACTCAGTGCCATGCAGGCACACTCAGTGCCACGTGGGCACACTCAACACACTCAGCACCACACACCCAGCGCCACGTGGGCACATTTAGCCCCACCAGCCGACCCCGTTCAGGCCGGGGCCGCACCTGTGTTGGTGGCCAGGACCACACTGGCCTGCGTGAGGCTCTCCACCATGGCGGCCTCTTCCCGCTGCTTCAGCTCCTTCCTTAGCAGCTTGATTTCATTCCAAAAATTACCCCTCTCTCTCTTGTCCTGGGTCTTTCTGTTTTTTACCTGCAAATGGAAGCAAAGAGCGCCATGACTTGCCCGCTTCGCGCTCCCTGCGCTCCAAGCGCCGTCCCCACCTGCTCCAGCACAGCGAGCTCCTCAAGAGGCAGGGAAGGGCGAGGCCTCTCTGAGGGGCCACGACACTTGGCCTCACACCCCACTGCACAGGGAGGAGAGGGACGCCCATGTCCTGGGGAGACGCAGTGGGGATGGGACGGCCACCTGCAGAGGCCAGCTGTTGCTGCCGGGGCATCACCCACGTTTCTCAAGAGATCCAAGATCCACGTGTTTCAGCCCATAATCACCCAACCACTCCCACGTTCGGCTGCTCTGCTTATCTGGAATCTGCAGCGGGAGGAGGTACTCCACCGCCTGATTCACTAAGCAGCCAGGTACAAGGACACCACATCGTCCACACCAGACAGTGTGAGAATCATCAAGCACGTCCCACACCACCTTATCCAGCCTCCATCCACCAGCAGCCAGAGCTGTCCATCTGCACCAGGGCCACCTCGCCTGGGCTGTGGGGCAGGACGGACAGCCTCCCAGCCCCTCCCTGCGGCCATCACTGCTGGGCACAGAGGGCGCTAAGGAGACGGCTGCTGGGGGCAGCAAACGCGGCCAGGGCAGAAACTAGACCAGAAGGCAGAGGCCTGGGGCCCTGCCACCCCAAGGGGACCTGCACCCCGGGTGCTCCCGCTCCTGGCACGGGCTACCAGAGAAGGTGGTGTGGATGAGGACTCAGGAGGCTCACTGCTTTCCTCTTTCTCCTCGGCTGCTTCCCGCCGGTGCCAACACTCTCTGCCAGGCAATGGGAGCAGGGGGGCACCTAGGAAACGCTGCTTCCTGATGGGTTCCTCGCCCCGGGCAACACCTGGAGCAGGGCACCCTGTAAATGCCGAGTGCAGCTCACTGTCAAAGATGAGCATGACAGGAGAGGGCAGCCCACTTTTTAATGATTCAATGGCGGATGGAGGCGAGAGACCAGGAGGAACAGACTGCAGACCGAGCCAAACGGGGACACTAGGACGCACCAGGATCCGGTCGATGTCCTTCCTGATGTCTGCGACGATCTGGGTGCTATCGCTCCGCGCCAACACCGCGTCCAGAGAGTGCTGCTGAATGGACTCCAGCAGGCGGGCAGGGTGCCCCAGGCGCAGGATCCGCTGCTTCCAGCGGGCCAGACGCTCCACCAGATTGTCCACCGCGATGTTCGAGGGGGCACAGCACAGAACCTGGGCGACGCAGTGGAATCAGGGCTGGGCGACCTTTTCTGAGTCTGTGCTACAAGACAGGAAGGCTTCGGCCACAGAGGAAGGAGCAGAGCATGCGACAGCCAACCTGCAGCCCCTGGGCCACAGAGGACGGAGCCCTCAGCACCGCACCCGGCACGTCTGCCGCCTGGACCCAGGCCCCCGAAACCTGTCAGTCTTCAAAGCACCAAAACGTCACGTGAGTTGCAACTGCAGAAGAAGGCCCTAAGATTCAAGTGTGCACTGGAAGACCAGCCACCAAATCCCACCAAGTCATTTTTACATCTGACCAACATAGGGTGCAGTGGAATTTCCACTCCACTGCAGGAACACAAGGCGGCCAGCAGAGGGAGACCCACAGCCCCCACCCGTCCCCCAATCCCCACGGATGTGCAGGGCACACCCAGCCTCGCTGCTCAATGAGCACAAGGAGCCTGCCAGGCGTGGTGGCGCACACTTACGACCCCAGCTACACCGAAGGCTGAGGCAGCATGATCATGTCTGAGGACGGCTTCAGCAATTCAGTGAGACCCTATCTCAATATAAAGAATTAATTAAAAGGGCTGCCGATGTGGCTCAGTGGCAGAATGACCCTGGATTCAATCCTCAGTGTTGCACACACAAAAAAAGACACTCAATGATAAGCCACCAAAGCCGCTACTTGTTAAGTAAGTACCTTTTCTTGCCAGTTTTTAAACAGCTATGAAGACACCCATCCACAGGGAGGAAACCTTGGACACTGATTTAACTAAGTGGCAACAACCCTTGCAGCTCTGAAAGGCAGCAGCTCCGGTAGGCACGGTGGTGCACACTTGTTATCCCAGCTACTCAGGAGGCAGAGGCAAGAGGATTGCAACTTTGAGGCCAGCCTCAGCAACTGAGCAAGACTGTGTCAAAATTTAAAAAGGGCTGGGGATGTGGCTGGTGTTGAGTCACTTGCCCTGTATGTGCAAGGCCTAGGTTCTGCCCCCGGCACTGCAAACAGCATAAGGTAGCAGCTCTGCCAGTCAGTGCTGGCTTTGCTTCTCACCGGCGTGATGGCAGGTAACCCTGTCTGGGTTTCCTTGCCTACAACCTGGGCTGCTAACAGTCCCCAGCAAGCAGGGTAGAAGACACCTAGAAGGCCGTGGGTTGGAAGCAGCACCAGCACAGGCCGACCTACCAATGCCGACCACTGCCACGCCAGCTCTTGCCCGGACCATGCTGCCACGTGCCAGGAGGGACTGTCTAACACACCTCCTGTGTCCTCGGGTCAGGATGACTCAGTGCATGTGAAGACGAAAGACCCTTTCTGGACCACAGCAAAGGCAAGGGAGCGAGGGCGTGCACCCTGGACAGCCCGCAGTCCATGCATCGCATATGCATCCTGTCCACTACCCAGGCACAGGGTCAAGGGCCTGGCAGCCACACACCCCAGCATGGGCCTGAACACAGCTGGAGCCAAGGAGCTTGGGCAGGGATACCCACAGGTGGCTTCTGCAGTGGGAAGGGCTCCGGGAGCCTGAGCCACACTGTCCACACAGGGGCTCCTGGGCACTCCCCTGACCCGAGGGGCTGTCAGACAGCAGAAGGGCCCTGCCAGCCCGCTGTGTGTGTGTGGTCTTGGGGACTGAACCCAGGGTCACTCTACCTGAGCTACACTGGACTCAGCCCCTTTTTTTAAAAAAAAAAAACTTTGATTTGTTTATTTATTTATTTTACATGATGCTGAGGATCAAACCCAGTGCCTCACGCATGCCAGGCCAGCGCTCTACCGCTGAGCCCCAGCCCCAGCCCCTCAGCCCTTTTACTTTGAGACGGGGTCTCACTAAGTTGCCCATGGTGGCCTTGGACTTGCCATCCTCCTGCCTCAGCCTCCTGTCTCTGGGATTACAGGTGAGGGCCAGGACACCAGCTCCAACCCTGACTCCTAAAGGTCCAGTGGGGTTCCTGACCAACCCTACCAGAACTGTGGCTGGGATCCCGCCAAGCGCCCACTGAGCACGGTGGGACCCGCAGACAGTGCCCCACCTTCAGGCCCTGCTTCACAGCCTGCAGGATGATCTCGACCAAGGTCGTGGTTTTCCCAGTGCCCGGCGGTCCGTGGATGATGGCGAGCTCTTTCTGGGACAGCGCAAACAAGACGGCTTCCTTCTGGGAGGGGTCCAGGGCGGCATTGAAGAGCACCAGGGGGCCTGCGGGGCAGCAGCTGTCAGGCCCGGCCCTGCCGCCCGCCTGCCAACCTCCTCTCAGGGCGCACACGGGTAGCACGCTGGACTCGGCTGTCTACGGAGGACTTCCAGAACGGGCCACGGCTATTCAGTTACATGCTGCTGGTGGCTGCCACAGCAGAGGCAAGGCATGGCCCCCATGGGAAAGGTCCCCGACCCACCGTCTGGGATAACAGGCAAGAAAGAAAGGTTTTTGGAGACGCGCCAATTTCCATCATCTCACCCCTTTTAGTTAAATGACAAAAAAAGAAAAAAAGAAATGCTAACGAATTCCAGAGTGGTGTCTCTACTCTAGATTGGAAAACTAACAAGCTTCTTATGCTCTGTGCCCGCTGTGCCCACCTGTGCCAAGTGCTGCCCCGTGCCTGTGGCAAAGCCCCTGACTGAATCACAAGCACACTGAGCCTGCTGGCCAGGGGCACTGGGCCACTCAAGAGAACAAAATGGTTTGTGAACAGTGCAGGGGGGTCACGGGCAATGAACCCACCACCAAATCTGAAGTCCCCTGCACAGTCCACTACCCCACACCAATCCCCTTTCCCTGGACAACAGCCATGATCAGGACATGCCACAATCCTCACACAGGATTGTGATAAGCCATGAGGGTGGCCATGCCTGCCATCCCAGAGGCTAAGGCAGGAGGATCGCAGATTCAAGGCCAGCCTGGGCAACTTAGCAAGGCCTGGGCTACTCAGCGAGACCCTGTCTCAAAAACTCTAAAGGGCGGGGGATGTGGCTCAGTGGTTAAGTGCCTCTGGGTGCAATCCACAGTACTGCAAAAAAAAAAAAAACAAACTATGGTAAACAAATTTCTGGTTCAGTTTCCAGCCCACAGTGCCCTGGCCAAATATCTGACAGAAATAAAGTACCACTGAAATACGAGTACCTTTAGAATTTCCAAAAAAAAATGTGGAGAGAAAACGAGCATCATAAAGCCGTGCCATGAGGAGCGCGGACTGAAGCAGCCGGGGTCTGGGCTGTCAGTCTGCTCTGCTGTGGCGCTGGCTGAAACCTCGGGCCGCGCCACCCCACCCACGTAGGTTTTTATTTCGAGATGGTCTTGCTAAGTTGCCCAGGCTGGCCTGGGACTAGGGAGCCTCCTGCCCGAGCCTCCAGAGCCCCTGGAGTCACAGCATGTGCCACCGCACTCGGAGCCCTGTTTCCAAGCTACTCAACAATGGAGTAGTTAGCGGGTACAATGACAGGCGGGGCTGGCGCGTGGCTCAGCAGAGGAGCGCGTGCCAAGCAGGCGCAGGGCCCTGGGCTGCTGGTGACCAGGCACTGGACCTGACCAAAGCCGCCGCTTCACAATCGACAGAAGCCCCCGTCTTCAGCAGTGCTGACGCACGAGCAGCCGTGCCTTCAGAGTAAAGCCCTCTGACAGTGGGCTTCCACGTGCTCCTAACTGCACCCTCACACTCAGGCCCACGGTCAGACCTGCTCGACAGCTTCGGCAACAATAAAAGAAAAAAGTCCTCACCTATGTCACCGGCAGGGCTGGGGGCGGATCCGTGGAAGATCAGCTCTATGAGCGGGGACGCCGGCCCCGAGTGGAACTTCTTCAGAGCCACCAGAGCCCTGTGGGGGAGAGGGCAGCGAGAGCTGGGGGAAGCCGGCAGCTCAGGCCAGCCTCTCACACGGGGCCAGGCCAGGGCCGCAGCCCGGGAGCCCACCTGCCTCCACACTCACGCCTTCAGCCGCTTGTACGTGACGTCATTGGCGAGCTTCAGCAGCCTGTAGGAACTCTCTCGATCCAAGTCCAACTGGAGGTCCTGGGACTCGTCAAAGGCCACCGTGACAGACTTCTGGGTGATACGGGTCAGGATCCCAGAGGCCAGCTGACCACCTTCGTGGGCAGCACCATACAGACCCACAATGTCACCTGTGAAACCCAAGCCACATCGCATCAGAACTGGAAAAAGTGAGGTACTGTTTTTTTTTTAATTTTTAATATTTATTTTTTAGTCTTTGGCGGACACAACATCTTTGTTGGTATGTGGTGCTGAGGATCGAACCCGGGCCGCACGCATGCCAGGCGAGCGCGCTACCACTTGAGCCACATCCCCAGCCCCGAGGTACTGTTTTGTGTGATAAATTCCAGGACGTTTCAAATGTGACGCCGTCGTGACTTTCTCCTCCTGCCTTTGTCCCTGTGCTAGAGTCTCTGCCTCCCCCTGCCGCACCCCTGGTCACAGATGGGTCCACAGATCCACCGGGGCCCCAGCTGGACGGAGACCCACAGCCGCCAGCTGGGCCAGGCACTGAGGGCGCAGGGGGAAAGCCGCGTCTGCAGCCCCAACAACAGGACAAGGGCGCAAGACCTCGGCCTGCCGGGGCTGCCCCCAGCTGTCCCCGCATCGCCTCCTCTCTCCAAACCCAGCCAGGACCCCAACAACCACTGGGGCCAGGGTCGATCACAGCACTGTCCCCACAGAACAAGGCAGAGATGACGGTGCAAAGGACGTTGTGACAGCCCCTCTCCGGGTTCCCTGGGCTGCGGCACCAGGCAGCAACTACCGATTGTCCCTCCTGTCAGGCTGTGACTCCACAGAGCCGGCCCGGCAGAGGAAGGTCTAGGAGTCCACCGCTGCTCACCCTGCACACCCGGCCATGGGGACCAAGGCCAAAGCCACCCCCTCTGTGACAAGAGTCATGGGTGACTTCTGGGCCGCCCCTGTGTGACAACGGTCACGGGTGACTCCAGGACACCCCTGTGATAACGGTCACAGGTGACTCCTGGGCCGCCCCTATGTGACCACAGTCATGGTGACTCCAGCACTACCCCGTGTGACAACAGTCACGGTGACTCCAGAGCTGCCCCTGTGTGACCACGGTCATGGTGACTCCAGCGCTGCCCTGTGTGACAACGGTCATGGTGACTCCTGGGCTGCCCCTGTGTGACAACAGTCACGGTGACTCCAGAGCTGCCCCGTGTGACAACAGTCACGGGTGACTCCAGGACACCCCTGTGATGATGGTCACGGGTGACTCCTGGGCCGCCCGTGTGACAACGGTCAATGGTGACTCCAGGACACCCCTGTGATAACGGTCACGGGTGACTCCTGGGCCGCCCCCGTGTGACAACGGTCATGGTGACTCCAGGACACCCCTGTGATAACGGTCACGGGTGACTCCTGGGCCGCCCCTGTGTGACCACGGTCATGGTGACTCCAGCACTGCCCCGTGTGACAACGGTCATGGTGACTCCAGCGCTGCCCCATATGACAACGGTCACGGTGACTCCAGAGCTGCCCCTGTGTGACAAATTTCCTAGGAGCTACACTAACGTGAAGGAAGCTGAGCATGGTGGGCACGCTGTAATCCAGCTGCTCAGGAGGGAGGCAGGGGACCAAAGCTCAAGGCCAGCCTCAGCCACCAAGCGGGACCCCGTGTCCAGGTAAAATAAGAAGGGCTGGGGGAGGCGTCAAGATACACACCAGAAGTGAAGCTGTTGCTGGGAAGCACCCCGGCAGAGCCACCCCTCCTGGGCTCCAGGGTGACCAGCAGCCGTCCGTACAGCCCCGTGCGCTGGCTGGACACTTGCAGCTTCAGCAGACACACGCCCCGGCTCTGGAGCTCCTTCAGAGAGATGCTCTCCTGCCAGGACCTGCAAGACACCCAGGTCAGGGCTTCCGGCTGTCCTTTGCCAGCTTCTGCTTCCCCGCCCACGTGAGAGGGGGACAGAGACAGGAAGACAAGCGTCTGCACAAGCACGTCCTCTCAGAGAGCCGAGCCTGCCCTGCCCCAACTGGCCCTCCCCATCCTCCAGGGCAGCTGATGCCAGGACCTCTGGGCTTTGGCTCCCACCACGTCCTGGTCCCCATCAACACTAGGTCCCACTGGTGCCCTGGTGCCCTCGCCGCCTCTCATCCGCCACCCCTGGCACCACCTAGGGCCACTACTGCTAACCTGGACTAAACTTGGCTCCTAACTGCTTATCTCTGGGCTCTCCCTGCCCAGCTGCCCCAGGGCAGCGCCGTGCCCACCGACCCATCCCCTCAGCTGCCCTCCCTCGCCAAGAGCCATCCCTGGTGCACAGTGGCAAGATGAGCCCCTCAGCAGGCCCTCCTGAGCCTGGCCCTTCCCTACTTTCCCTGATGGTCAGCAACAGCCGGGGCCATGTGCAGCCTCTGTGCTTGATGCTGAGCACCTGACGCAAAAGGATGGGTTTGTTCTCAGACAGGTGTGGGGTGGAATCGTGCCGTTCCGCAATGAGGTGAGGCGGGCTCAGAGACCACCTGCGAAGCCTACCCACCATAGTGCAGGAGCTGGAATCCCACCGAGCTCCCAGCCAGCAGGGTCAGAGGCCTCTCAAGCAGATCCTGCCAAGGGGTGGGTCTGGAGGCAGACTGCCCCGATCCGCGTCACCTGGGCAAGCTCCATGGCCCCTCTGTCCCTCCTTGGACAGGACAAGTCACAGCTCTGTAGGGCGGGCAGGAGGTCTTAAGGAGACTGACACCAGGTGCTGCTCGTCTTGCTTCCGGCACAGGGATCCCCAACCAAGGCCCACCCTCAGGTTGTCCACACCTCCTTCACCACCTCTCCTGGGCACCACCCGACGCTCACTCCTCCTGTGCTCAGCACCATCCTCCAGGAAGCCCCCTGATGTCCTCCTAGGGCTCTCCAGCCAGCAGTGGCCATGCTGCTTGGGCACAGGGCTGTTTCTGGTCATGCTTTCTGTGCAGACACTCTAACCTGCTCATCTTCTTCTTTGCTTGGTGGGGAGCAGGAAGGGGACAGGGGTTCCTGGGGTTGGCCAGAGACGGACACACATGTGCCTGTCCTGAGTGACTCCATGGTGTGTGGAACAGCAGTCCTCAGGCTGCGCCTGCCCTAGTGACTCCATGGTGTGTAGAACAGCAGTCCTCAGGCTGT